TATTCCACCATCCTCAACCCCAACTGAATTTGTCTGACCCAGCAGATTTTGTGGTTCTTGCCTTAGGTGAAAGTATTTCTACTTAAGGAGTTTCTGCCAACTGACTAAAGAGCTAGCAAGGTATATACACAGTGGTTTTCTTTGTTTGTTTATTTTTGATTCAGTTGAAAGATCTCAGGATTGAGAGAGAGTCAAAAGACCTTGGCTTCAATTTTCCTACATGTGTGGTTCAGATTTGCTGGTTTCCTGTTTTTTTTTTTTTATGTGTAAAACAATTGGGTAGGGCTAGATGGAACTCTGAGGTACCTTCCATCTTTACATCTTCCAGAACTTAGAATGGTCCCTGGTACAGTAAGTTCTTAATAAATGCTTATTGACTGACTGACTATTCTAAATCCTACAATCTCACTTAATTGACTTTCATTCAATATAATTCAAGATTTTACATGTGCATAGACAAGGTATTGCAAAGTTACTCCTGTCTCCAGAAATTTTCCTTGCAAACATGAACTGGGAAACTTTGAATCTTCAAATCCTTCTAAGTAAATGGAAATAGTAAAAAGCTTCAGGAACAAGTATATTAGTGAAGAGTGGAAAAGAGATGAAAATAAAAGGAAGATGAAGTATCAATACCTATTACAGTGTCCTACCACAATAGAATATTATTAAATATTTGCTGAATTAAATTGATTTAAAGTTGAACTGAGCAAGAGGGTGAAGTGGAACATACTTTGGGGTGGCAAATATGGTGTGTGCTGTGGATTCACTCCTCATGGTCTTGCTACCTTTAGACTCGATTCTAAGGGTAGCCCTTTCAAACTAATTAAACATCATGAGAATTCACTGATGGAATTTGTTTAGTATAAGTCACTACTTCTCTAGGGGAAGCTGATATATCATTTTCCTGAACATTTTCACTACTTAGTGTCATACTTGCTGCCTACTGCTACTGCCACCATAGGAGTGTAGTTCGTATGATGCTTTTAAAAATACAATGTGATCTATGAGGTGAAGTTTTGAGCAAGAGATATGAGCTGCTTCAACAAATGTTAGGTGACTGAAAAAAAAAACAGGGCTTTAGGAACACAATGGAAGGGGAATCAAAATGAAGAGCAAGAATGGTAGTGAAATGGGAAGAGGCTTCTAATATAATGGGGTACAGGGAATATCAGACCTTGGTAATATGACATAAATTCATTAGCAGGGATGAGATTTTAACACTCAAGTAACTTTTATTAAACACAATTGTTCTTTTGGTAGTGACACAGGCCTAAGTGTTAAATTCATGGAGAATTTTTACTCTTGAAATACCTTGTAACTAATACCTCTGAGGTCAGCAATATCATTTCATAACTGACAATTGTTATGAAAGGATTATCTATAGAAGATTGAGCTATGAGGCAGTGTTTGTTATAATACCTCAAAGGAATGTAGATATTGTTAATTAATCGTTGGTGCTTTTGGATTCTAAGGAATGCAAATTACTATTGCTCCTATTATTTATTAATAAAGTAAATATATGATACTAATATTGTTGCTTACTGAGTGTCATCAAGTGCCCAAATCAATGGATGAGGTCCATAGAAAAGATTATTATGAATTCCGAGTTGGTGTAAAGGTCTGCTCAAGTCAACAGGTAATATTTAATTTTGCATAAGTCTGCCAATTGTAATGCACTGTTGGTCTGTTTTCTCTTTGCAAAAGCAAGATTAAATATAGTCATATTGATGAAAATGGTTAGAAAGAATTTGAAAGTGGTGGTTCATGGTCGTAAAAGTTGGGGGATTAATAGCACGAGCTAGAGCCAAAAAAGCTAACACCATCCCCTTGTGCATCAGGAGAAATCTTTAGAATTGTTACCTATTAAACACTGACTCTTCCTGTCCTAGCTTTCTGCTATGTAGAGATGAATGGTTATAATAAGCACTTTCATCCAAAGATCATAAGATGTCTTATAAGCCAATTTGTGCTATCCTAATAGTGTAGAAGGTGCTCAAAGGCTTTGCAGCAAAACATGTAACAAAAATTCCCTGTTCAATTTTAGATTAGGAAATTTGAGCCTAGTTTACCAGCACATGATGTCCCCAGAGCAATTAAATTATTTCTATGGAGGGGTATAAGCTGTATTGTTCAGGCCCCATTTTGAGGAAGATAAAGCAAAGGCTCTTATCAGGGAAGTTATGCACATTAAGATAAGAATACCAAAGGTTCATAGAACATGGTTTTCCAAAAGCAATCTTCCACTGTGTGCTATAATATAAACTGTGACCATACTTTGAGCCATATTGTCCTCAGGGACTGTCATTTTCTCTTAATTGATTTAGGTACATTAGAGATTCATTTTACCTCTTTTTGACCACTGAAGTATCATTTTCTGCATTGCCACAACAAAATCATGAAATACACACATTAATTTTTCTTTGTACATTAAATATGTACCTGAAATGTATATTAATGGGATACTTGTATCTCTAACTATGCTTCTCTATGGACTATTACAGACATTTCTGAGGTGTATTCCTACAGAAAAAATGGGCCCCATGTAATAAAGATCATAACAAAGAATCATATTATTATTTTCTAAGTGCAACTTATTTTAATGAAAAATACAAATTATTTGTACTTAATTATCTGAAACAGTGCAAAACTTTGTCCAATTAATTATTGTCCTAAATGATCTTTCATATGCATTCAGGAATACGATATATTTGTATACGTTATATATTATACTCTTAACATATATCCTGGCATGTTATTAATTTCCGTTCCATTGAGGATTTTGTTAGAACTTCAATCTTTAAGTCACTGACTTGCTATATCATCAATAATCCAAGTACTTAGCAGAACTCCTAGAATAGATAACAGTAAAAATGCCACCCCCCCCATTTTTTTTCTTTTGTAAATGCCAGACAAACTAAGTAGACTCAGTATTACTCATGGGGAAAGAAGTCTCTTATGTTATTGCACAGAGTATGAGGAGAAAGCACTATCTTGGTGGGATGATTGGGTTCGACACTGAAAACAATTGAAAAAGTCTATGCTATGCCAGAAATAAAAGTTTCTTGGGAATGACAAATCTAAAAGGCTTTAATGAGAGGGGGAACCTGAAAGCAAGGTCAGGGATTTTTAAGCCAATGAGGTCTGTGTAGAGATCAGGAGCCATGGAAATTGCAACTTTATATAGTAAGTCTTCTTAAAGATCAACCTTTTTTATAGTACTGAGAATAATCCACATATTTCTTTCTCTGATGGCATTCCCCCATTATCCAGACCCTTGTTTCTAAATACCTACTAGAATTTTCACCTAAATATTCCACCAGCGCCTCACATTAAATATGCCCAATCTCTGTTTTTTCTTTTCCTGAACATTTGATTTACTTCCTTGTCCTTTACAAGTAATGTCTAACTCCTCTATCTTCGTTCATCTCTCACATTTAAGAAGTCATCAACTCTTGGCATTTTACCACTATAACATCTGTCATCTCAACCATCTACTTTTCCTCAATACCAATGACATTGCCAAAGATGAGACCTTTATTTCTTCTCATCTAGACTATTGCAATGGGCCATTAACTAGTCTCATCTCCTCCATACTTATATGATCTGGTATATCCCACACATTGCTTCTCAATTAATTTTTGAGAGTTATAATTTTGATTGCAATATTCCCCATTCCATTTTTTCCCAGTAGTTTTTCATTGCTTACCAAACAAAGCCAAAACTCCTTTCTACTGACCCTGTCTGACCCTTTCACTCCCAATCAACAGACTGAAGAAACTCTATTTCCTCTAGGTTAAAATATAAATTCCTTTATTCATCACTTAAAGTCCTCCACTTCCTGGTCTGCATCTGCCTTTCAAGGCTCATTGTAAATTGGATATTACTGTCTTTACCCCCATTGAATAATCTGGTTAAACTGTCCGTTTTACACAACACTCCACTCCCATCTCTATGCTTTTCTATTGATTCATTACATCCTCCCATGTGCTTCAAGAGATCCCTCTTTTTTCCATTTCCCCTGACATCACAGAGATAGCAACAGAACACAAGACTTGTTTATCTGTTTGTTTGAGAACCTTAGTTCTTGCCTTTTGCCATACTGGAGCACCCTTATCATTTTTAAGTCTTTTCGTCCACCATGAAGCTGAATTCTTTCATGTGTGTTTTCTTACCACATTATAATGTAATCTTATTGAGAACAAAGAAAGTCTCATTTTTAATTGTATATACTACATTAAAGGCAGCTAAGTAATAGAGTGATGGAGCTAGAGTAAGAAAGATCTGAGTTTGGGGGCAGCAAGGTCATGCAGTGGATAGAGCATGAGCATTGGAGTCAGGAGAACCTGAGTTCAAATCCTGGCTCACTCACTTACTAGCTGAATGACTCTGAGAAAGTCTCTAACCCTGATTGCCTCAAGAAAGAAATATCTGAGTTCAAATCTTGCTTCAGATACTTATTATCTGTGTAACACTGACTATGTTATGTAACCTCTGTTTGCCTTAGTTGCCTCAGCTATAGGGTGGGAATAATAATAGTGCCTATCTCCTAGTGCTGTGGAAAAAAAATACAATAATATTTATAAAACATGACAATGACAATGATGATGATTATGATATTTGTATTTCTAGGGATTAACATAATGTTTGACACATATAAAGTGCTTAATAAAGACATTTTCTTTCATCCATTCATTGGTTATCCCTTATTAATGTCACATTTTTTTTCCATTCATAGACGTCTCCAATTTCATCCATTATACCATTTCTCTTTTGTAATTCTTGGTTGGTAATTTCATGTAGCCTTCTCATGCCCCTTCTATTTCCTAAAGGTAACACAGTCTTTTCTCCATTTGCCTGTTGAGTCATGGCTATTATTTTCTATTCATAATTTATATCCAAAATATGTGTGCCAATGAAAGAGACTTATGGGCCATCCATATATCTGTATATTATGATGTGCAAAATAGTCATTCTTCATTCGCTTGTTTTTTCTGATATAGACTGAGTATAGATGTTCTTCAATGTTTAAGTCTATCATCTAATCAGCATAGTGTCTACAAATAGAAGATGGAGAACCTGACCAATTTCAAGCATTCTGGAAATCACTTACAACAGTAACAAATATCTTTGATGATCGTGCATCCCGCTTATATGCCACACTTGATTGTAACAATGAAAGGGTTATCAAATAAAGAAATTTCTGTTGTTAATACTTTAAGAAATCTTGTGCAATTTTGACACATACCTTGAAGAAACCACAATGGTAAAGATTATTCAAGATAGCCATTCACTCTTTAGAATCAATTAAAATAAACATAGTAGGATTGTGTATTCTTTACATCTTTCAGTCAAATTTGTGTGACTATAAAGAGGAGACTGTCTATGGAACATAATCCATGAAGCCCATTTCATTTTTTATGAAGGATGCCCTATTATGTGTAGATTATTTTCATAAAGATTTCATAGAGATGGTGAAGTAAGTAAATGGCCTTGCAGGCATTAATATTTTAGTCATTTAGTCATCTTTTTGTTTGCTTTAACCAAGATATTTTTCAAGCCTTTGGTACTCTTGTCTATTTCAAAAACCTTGGGAATTGATCCCTCAGCACCCTCCAGGTTGTGTCACATCTAACACATGTCTCTTTTGTGCATACTGCCATTCACGCCTTTTTTTTCTTCAATATCATTTTCACTTCCTCAGTCAGTACATGACTGAGAGTAATTTTTAAGCCCAAAATGACATAGCTTCTCTGTTCTTGAAGAGTTTTTTAAATATATATGAAAAAAAAAATCTTTACTAATCTTTTGTGTTTGTTTTTGTTTTGCCCTTATTCAACTTATATCCTTAAATACCTTCAGTAGGACTTCACTTATTTGAGTTTCTCACTGTTTTCTGTTATTTTTTCTTTCCTTCATTTTGCTGTTCTATGAGCTCATACTATGCATAATTTCCCACCATCCCCTTCTGTAAAATTTTACAAGTGGGTTTGTAACATAAACTATGTTGCCTTTGCCTACCATTTCTGTGTTTTATGAGGTCATCATGTATTTACTTCACGAGATGGTTTCTAGCCTCTTGTTCTCTTTGCTATGTTGTTTTCTTTACATCACTTAAACTTAATTTAGAAATTGTGGCAGTAAGTGTTTATATCATTTGTTTGTCCATTTCTTTCTTTTTAAAGAATCAATGGCTTGATTCTAGATAAAAATGAAGGTTTTGTTTTTTAGAAAGTATAACATTCTAAATTCATTTCTAGTTTGTTGTATTGATTTTTTATCTTTGCTCTAAGAAGTTGTGCTATATACAACTATTTGACAAATTATTCCAACATTAATAAGTCATTTCCTACCCATGAAAATATGATCAATTTCATTATTTATAATGTTGTTTGGTGTTTTCTTCTTGAATTAGTTCTCAAAAAATTTCTGATATAACAGTATCAAGATTGGATGGAATCTACATATCATTGATCATTCATTTTTTTATTACTGAACCAAATTTTCTAGCTTTTTTATTCTCCTCTCCTTTGCTCACTTATAAATTGCATTGACTATGTTTTGAATGCATTGTTGATTTAATGTGATTTTAATCTAATTCTTTGTAAAATTTTTCTACTTTCTTACTTTTTGCAACATATTGCTATTTAAGCTGATTTTTTTGCAAAAGTTTACCAACTCTACTGACTCCTTTATTTGTCTCTCCAAGGAAAATCTTTTTCCCCCTTTTCTTTAATGTACTTGCAACATCGATTTATTTTCTGGTTTACTTTTTATTGAGAATGTAGAGATTGGCATGATTTAGTTCCTCTTTCGAGAAACTTATAATCTGAGGCAGAGCCAAGATGGTGGAGTGAAAGCATGGACTCTTCTGAGCTCTCCCCCAAACCTCTTCAAATACCTGTAAAAAGTGACTCTGAACGAATTTGAGAGTGTCAGAAGCCACAAATAGACAGAGTAAGCAAGATTTCCAGCCCAAGACAATGTGGAAAGTCAATAGGAAAGGTCTGTTGCACTGGCCTGGGAGAGCAACAACCAGCACACAGACTGCAACACAAACCCAGCCCCAGCAAAGCCAGAGCAGGCCTCAGGGGCCTGAATCATAGGCAGCAGTGGCAGTTTCCAGTCTGTTTAACCCACAGATGCCAGATACAACTTAGAAGGTCAGCGGGAGGGGTCTGTTCAAACTGGATGGGAGAGAAGCACAGGCCAAACAGGGTGGGCCAATATAGGACGAAGTCCAGAAAACCAGGAGCAGGTTTTGGGAGTGACTGAGTTGGCAACAGTAGGTGGCAGCAGCAACATGGACTTCCAGGAGCCAAGATGGTGGAGTAAGCAGTGAGTTTCTTCCTTATTGGCCTTGAAAAACCCAGAGAATATTGCCCCAGGAAAAATCCTGAAGTAGCAGAGCCAGCAGAAAGATGGGGTGCAACAGTCTTTTAGCTTGGGTGGCTAGAGGGATTAACAGGAAAGGACCCTATTGTTGTGACTGAAGGGGACCAATATAAGAAGGAAGTCATCCCAGCAAGCCAGTGGCAAGTCCCACTTCAGAAAACCAGTAACCAGGCCCCTAGACCCCAACACAAGAAGCCCGGGACAGTGCCCCCTGTGCCCAAGAAGAGATCAATTTTACAAGCCAGAAAAAAGGTAAACAACATGAGCAACAGCAACATAGAAAAACAAAGATAATAGAAAAGTATCTGGGTGAAAGGGAAGATCAAAACACAAATTCAGGAGAGGACAACATTGTCAATATACCCGCATCTGAAACCTCAGAGGGGAATATGAACTGGTCTCAAGCCCAAAAAGCATTCTTGGAAGAGATTAAGAAGGATTTTAAAAGTCAAATAAGAGAGGTAGAAGAAAAATTGAGCAATTCCTTTAAAAATATAGTTGACAAAGTGGGGGGGGGAATACACTGAAAAAACAACTTCTTAAAAAGTAGAATTGATCAAATGGAAAAGGAGGCACAAAAACTCACTAAAGAGAAGAACTCCCTAAAAAGTAAAATGGGCCAAAGGAAAAGGAGGTACAGAAGAAAATGCAAAATACCTTCTTAGAAAAACAACTGACCTAGAAAATAGATTGAGGAGAAATAATTTAAGAATTATTTGTCTACCTGAAAGCCATGATATGAAAAAAAAAAAGATCCTGGACAGAATCTTTCAGGAGATCATCAAGGAAAACTGCCTGGAAGTCCTAGAACTAGAAGGGAAAATAACCATCGAAAGAATCACTGATCACCACCTGAAAGAGATCCCAAATTGACAATGTCAAGGAATATAATAGAAAAATTCCAAAATTCCCAGATGAAAGAGAAGGTTCTGCAAGCAGCCAGAAAGAAACAATTTAAATATCATGGAACCACAGTCAGGATTACACAGGACCTTGCAGCTTCTACATTAAAAGACCACAGGGTGTGGAACATGATATTCCATAAAGCAAAAGAGCTTGGAATGCAGCCAGGGATCAATTACTCAGCAAAAATGAGCATCATTTTCCAAGGGAGGAGACAGATATTCAATGAAATAGGAGACTTCCAAACTTTCCTGATAAAAAGACCAGAGCTCAATAAAAAGTTGATGTTCAAGTACAGGACTCAAGAAGGACTTAAAAAGGTAAATGGGGCATAAAGATACAATATGTTGTTAATAAGGGGGTGCTGTTTCAACCCCTACCAGGGAATATGACACTCGCAACCCTTGAGAACTGTATTGTTATTACACCATGTTAAAGGAGTATACATAAAGAGGGTGGATATTAGTTGACTTTGATGTAATGATAAAAAAAATCTAATCAAGTGGGTTAAATGGATCCAAATAAGTGGATCAATCTGATCTTAGAAAATGTACTGAGAAAGGAGGAGGCAGACAAGGGTAAATTACATTACAGGAAAAGACACAAAATCCTATTACAGCAGAGGGAAAGAAGGGAGGGGGAGCATTGTTTGAACCTTACTCTCATCAGATTTGGCTCAAGAAGGGCATAACATAATCAGTTAGGTATAGAAATCTAACTTGCCCTATAGGCAGTAGGAGGGAAAAGGGGAAAGAAAAGGAGGGGGGAAAGGGAGGGGGAAGAAGGAGGAAGAAGCAGGAAGAGTAAAGGGGAAGAAAAGGGAAAGGGATAATAAAAGGGAGGGGGACTGAAGGAGGCAGTGGTCAAAAGCAAAACACTAGTGAAGGGGGAAAGGAAAAAGGAGAAAGAAAAGCATAAATAGGGGGAAAAGGATGGAGAAAAAGACACAGATAGTAATCATAACTGTGAATGTGAATGGGATGAACTCTCCCATAAAACGGAAATGGATTGCAGAATGGATTAAAAACCATAATCCTACAATATGTTGTTTACAGGAAACACATTTGAAAAAAGTGACACATACAGGGTAAAGGTAAAAGGCTGGAGCAGAATATATTATGCGTCAGCTGAAGTAAAAAAAGCAGGGGTAGCAATCCTGATCTCAGACAAAGCAAAAGCAAAAATAGATCTAATCAAAAGAGATAAGGAAGGAAACTACATCCTGCTAAAAGGCACCATAGACAATGAAGTAATATCATTACTAAACATATATGCACCAAATGGTATAGCATCCAAATTCTTAGAGGAGAAGTTCAGGGAGTTACAGGAAGAAATAGACAGCAAAACTATACTAGTGGGGACCTGAACCTCCCCCTCTCTGCACTAGATAAATCTAACCACAAAATAAACAAGAAAGAAGTTAAGGAGGTGAATAGAACATTAGAAAAGTTAGGTATGATAGACCTCTGGAGAAAACTGAATGGGGATAGAAAGGAATATACTTTTTTCTCAGCAGTACATGGCACATACACAAAAATTGACCATGTACTAGGGCATAAAAACCTCACAATCCAATGCAGAAAGGCAGAAATATTAAATGCATCCTTTTCAGATCATGATGCAATAAAAAAAATTATATGTAATAAAGGGCCATGGAAAGATAGACTAAAAAATAATTGGAAACTAAATAATCTAATCCTAAAAAATGATTGGGTCAAACAACAAATCATAGAAACAATCAATAATTTCATTCAAGAGAATGACAATAATGAGACAACATACCAAAACTTATGGGATGCAGCGAAAGCAGTTCTTAGGGGAAGTTTTATATCTCTAAATGCTTACATAAATAAAA